TGTCCCTGTGGTGAGACACCAACTCTCTGGAGTGGGCTAAAAGGAGCCAATCGTCCAGGTAGTTGAGTATATGGATGCCCTGGAGCCGCAGCGGGGCCAGAGCAGCATCCATACACTTTGTGAACGTCCTTGGCGCTAGAGCGAGGCCAAAGGGGAGGACCCTGTACTGGTACGCTTTCCCTCCAAAGGCGAACCTGAGGAACTTCCTGTGTCGCCGTACGACCTGGATGTGGAAATAAGCATCCTTGAGGTCTACCGTCACGAACCAGTCCCCCCGCCGGATATGAGATATGATGGCCTTCAGCGTCAACATTTTGAATTTTCCTTTGTAAAGAGAGAAATTCAACCGGCGAAGATCTAGTATCGGCCGCAGGCCGCCCCCCTTCTTCGGGACCAGGAAGTAACGGCTGTAGAAGCCCTGTTCGACTTCCCCCGAAGGAATCTCTTCTATCGCCCCCTTCAGCAGAAGGGATGAAATCTCCTGCTGTAGTACAGAAGCCTGAGCGGCGCTGTCGACTACAGTAGGAAAGACCCCGTTGAAGCAGGGGGGGTTGCGACAAAACTGAAGCGTGTAGCCGAGCCGAACTGTGCGAAGGATCCAAGGCGATACCCCTGGTAAACGCTCCCATTCTTGAACGAAATGTGATAGAGGCAGAGGAGTGTTGCAGTGCAAGGGACATACCTGAGGTAGGGTGTCGCGCTGGTTTCCATGGGGAGGCGCGGTTGACCGTGGAGGAGAGCGCTTGGCGTCCTGACACGTATTGGGGGGTACCACCACCTGGATAGAAGTAACTGGGTCCGCCTGCTCCAGAGGAAAAAGAACTGTGCCTCTGAGGAAGCGATTGGCGGGTGTAACGTGCACCGGGAGCGAGGGGAGAAAGCAAGATGCGTCTCCTTCCTCCTGCGCCGGACTGGGTGAAGAGAGTGAAACAGGACCTGCACTTCGAAACACGCTGGGTGGCGAAGGTGACAGGGTTGGATGAGGAGAGCCGGCTGGAGGAGGGCAGAAACGCTTGCGCGGTCTGTCCCAACCTCGTAGATCTGATGAGGCTCTCCTCCTCCTGCCCTGCGGGTCAGGAACGGCTCGAGGAGGCTGGAGCGGCCGATTTGTTGGACCGCTTCAGCTGAAGGCGCTTGTGAGGGCGCTGGCGAGGAAATGGACGACCTCGGGCTCCCCAGACAGTAGTTGGTGGGTGGCGAGCCGGGTCACTCCTGCTAGTAGGGAACTCAGCCCTATGAGCAGAGCGTTCTCGGGTTTGAGAAGGGGGAGGGTTGGAGTCACTGGGCCCTCTGACCCTCCTGGGCATAAACTGCCTGAACGCGGCCGACTGAGACTTAGCGGCGCGGAACTTGTCAACCACCGTGTTGACCGCCTCCCCGAAAAGACCTGAGTGGGAGATAGGGGCATCCAGGAGGAAACTCTTATCCTTGTCTCGGATCTCCGTGAGATTCAACCAGAGGTGGCGCTCTGCAGCAACCGAGCCCGCCATAGAGCGACCTACAGCCCGAGCAGTGTGCTTGGTGGCTCTTAGGGCCAGATCTGTGGCTTTGCGAAGCTCTTTGACAGCTTCGGGCGTCAGTCCCTCTCCTTCATCCATGTCCTTCAAGACGTCCGCTTGGTAGGCTTGAAGGATGGCCATGGTATGCAGGGCCATGCCTGCCTGACCAGCCGCCATGTAAGACTTCCCAATAAGGGAGGAAGTAGTCCTACAAGCCTTGGAAGGAAGAAGGGGACGCGCCTTCCAAGACGGTGCAGACGACGGGGCGAGGTGGTTAGCCAGCGTGTCCTCGACCGCTGGAATAGCGGAATAACCCTGCTCCACAAAACCAACAAGGTTGGTGAAGTCAGCGGCTGCCGCATTAGTTAGGCGTGCGGAGAATGGCTGCTTCCAGGATCTGGAGATCTCGTGATGCAGATCGCTGAAAAAGGGCAGCTTTCTTCGCTCTGGCCTAGAATTAGGGCCACGTAGGAACCTCTCGTCGAGTTTGGACGATTGAGACTCGCGGGGCTCATCAGGCCAGTCAATAGAGAGCTTCTCTGTAGCGCGCGACAGCACCTCAATAAGCTCAGTGTAGGCCGGAGTAGGCCGCGCGTCCTGGCCGCTAGGCGGGATAACGTCATCAGCCAAAGCAGGCCCGAAATCCTCGGAGTCGGAGGCTGCAGTGTAAATAACGTCATCCAGACCGAAAGAAACCGATTCGCGGGCTCCCGGGCTGGGACATAAATAATCATGCGCGAATTCAACCGCGCCGCGTGCGTGCTCGGGAGAGGGAGGGAGAGAAAGGGCGAGGCCCGTCTGCTCATACTCAATATCCTCGAGCTCAACATCCGAACCCCAGGCCGCGGATCCACGAGAGGCCTCAGCAGTCTCGGGAGCGCGACGGGGGGAAACGAATGTCTCCTTCTCAAAAACCGCGAGTCTAGAGCGGAGGGTTTTGAGAAGGAGATTGTCACAAAATTTACATTTCGACAATCCTAATACAGCCTCACGCGCATGCGAAAAACCCATACATTTAACACACTTACTGTGAGGGTCGTCGTTCGAGATAAAACGAACGCATGGCGGAGAGCAGCGTCGATAATCCATGACACTTCACTGTAAGGAGAACAGAGTTCCACTTATACCAGTCGCTGAAGTGTCGAGACGAAAGCTGAAGTTGAATTGAAGAATTCGGGCTCAGAAAAACCGCACGAAGGGCGAGATGTGACCGCTTCGTGAAGGCAGAGAAATCTGAGGAGAAGATGGCGCGCGCGCGTACATCATGCTACGACGTAAGAGCGTCGGGGCGGAGCCAGCTTTGCGCGAGCGCCATCAGCCAATGGATTGGCGTGATTCTATAGGGCTTCAGGCAATCGGCACATCCAGAGGATATCCCACTGCGCTTTCCGCAGCGTTGAGTGAACCTATGAAAGAGAACACATGATCTGTTCCTTACCATTTCTGCAAGCTCATTTACATTGTTTGACATTTCTCACTAAATTTCTCACAGTTGTAAAAAGCACATTTATCAGATGATTTAGACACCCTTTAGCATCCACACCTTTAAATGATGTTTTTAATTTTTAGCTGGGTTTTTTCGGTTATATAAAGGGTGATGAGCACTCTTTGTTCATTTACCTTGTCTTTGGGAGAACCTGTAGCTTTTAAAATAAACGACTTATTTCAATTAAACTTGAAACCAACAAAAACAACAACCTCAAAATCAATGTCAGAAATTAATTCCTAGATCATATTATACATCAAAATACCAACCCGGTATCACGCTAAAGCGTGTAATACACACGCTGGTCCACTAGCGGATGCGTGTCAGGGTCACGCTTTGCCTCCTCAAGGCGTGAACATGACACGCATGAATGAAGGCTGAATGAAGGTTGAGTACCAGCAGGGGGCAATAATTTCCTCAATGCCAACAACTCTCCACGGACCAAATAGAAGCGATATAGTGCATTCTCCAAAATTCCCGCGTCGTTCAGGTCGGTCAAAGCCATTTGTATTACGGTGCTGTCATTTAATATACGTTGCTATAGCCTAACGTTATACTTGTGTGTATGAAGACTGTGGAGCTTTTTAATCTATGGTGCTGTTAACGTTACTGTGGTCAATAACGTCAATGGAAATTGATATTAATTGGCTAATTAATTAATCACAGAAAGCTGCTGTCGATCCTGAAATATCGATACTGATGTTGTATCTATTCTAAAGGATAGATCCTCACATAAAACCAGTAATTTTATTCATTTAGAACGAATTTATTTTATTCAGAAATGATGCAATAAATCGATTATACGTGACCGTAAAGGCCATTACATTGTTACACACACACACACACACACACACACACACACACACACACACACACACACACACACACACACACACACACACACATATATATATCATATAAGCTGTTCTAAATTGGACCAGCGTGTGTATTACACGCTTTAGCGTGATACCGGGTTGAAAATACACATGCATGTCATTATTGGGAAATGGACAATATGAACACTTTTTTTGTAATGTAATGCAGCTGTGAAAATTTTATGTTGTAAAATGAATGATCATTTTGCTATTAAAATGTGTATGAAAAAATAAAAATAAGAATTAAAATGATGCTTTTATGGAAAAATCTAAATAACTGCAAAAGTCACTGGATAAAACAAACCCGGGAACATGCAGCAAAAACAGCATAGCATTCATTGCTTGAGGTTAATGGGAGAAAAAAATATTATACTCTTTTTTAAAAAACATATTTAACTTCCTTTATGAAATATTAGGTCAAATGTAATGCATGGCTGTGACTCTGTTGGTTTGCTCTGTCTTTCTTGCACTTTAACAGATTGCTTAAAGTTCACATGTAATAAATTGATCAAATCGAGACTCAGAGTGCGACACACAGAGCCAGAAGTTCTGTACATGCATATACTGTATGGAAGGGGTGGTGGATTTATGCACTGCAATAAAATGCACAGCACCTTTATGACTTAAATTAGCGGAAATTACCAAAAAAGAGTTGAATGACATAGTCCGTAAAGTTACTGCAAGCTCAACAAACAAACCATACATATTTTATCACAATTCTGGTAAAGTACATTTATCTCAGATGACCTGTTTAGATAAAACATCCAGGCCTTTAAAAGTTGTCTTGTATTTATAGCTGGTCCATTGATGTTTCTGTTATTTAAGGGTGATGAACCATTTTTGCCCATAGAGTAAACTTCATCTTGTCTATTTGAAAACTTTGTTTTGTACATTATAAGGTGAGTGACTTGCTTATTTAAAAGAATCAAAATGAATGTCAGATTATGTTTTCAATTCATGCATGCTATCATTTGAATGACATAATTGACTTAATTGCCTGTCAAATTAAATGATAAGAAAGTCCAATTACATTCTGTTAAATATTAAAACAAACTCTCACAGAAAATCCACAATAAAATCAGATTATAAACTTAAACAATATTAACAACACCTTTCAGATTTGTTATTATCTTATTTCCTTATTTTCCTTCCCATGTGTAGGATAATGGAAATGCACATGTTTTTCGTACTTTGGATTTTTGTGATGCCTTATTTCACAGACACAACAACAGCTAAAGGTACAGTTCAAAATTACACAAATGGCTTCAATTATACAGACACACTCCCAATACATTATAAACACTGGTTGCTGATCACTGAACATTATCAGATCAAGTTGTCACTGATTTATGTTTTACTTTTATATAATTCATTAAAATGTCTTCTGGACAAAACTATGGTTTGTTAGTTTTGCATGTTCCCTTTTTGCCTGTTTTTTAAAGTGTTTATTGTTCTTGTTTTATGAAATTATAATTGTTTACATCTTGCAGAAAATGTTTATCTTATAATGTGAAAGATGTTTTTAGATAGCATTTCATATTTCAAAAAATACTCAAGATCGGGGCTAATGTCTCAAAAGGACAGATTTTTCTCCTTGGCAATAAAGGTGGAAGAGCACAATTACTTTTTGTAGCTATAGACTGAGTAGGTAGATACATCTATACAGAAAAAAATATAATAAGTAAATAAACCTTGAGAAATAATCACTTGAAGTCAAAAGTTAAATATTATATGGTTAATTGTTTTTTTTTTATAATTATAATTTAGTTTTATTAATTTATTAGTTTTTATTGCAAATTTTGACTATATACTTGATCAATTTCAGCTACAAATCTCGCTTTATATGGCAAGGCCACACAGTCGGACCTGGTTGGGAATCCTTCGGCAGCATTTGGCCATGCCAGTAATGCTATTGATGGCAATCGTGACTCACATTATGAACATGGATCCTGTACTGCTACTATTATCCAAGATGACCCATGGTGGAGGTTAGATTTACTAGACAAGTACGTAGTGACCGCCATAACTATCACGAACAGAAAAGACTGCTGTCCTGAAAGGCTTGATGGAGCCGAGATACGAATCGGAAACTCTCTGCTGAACAACGGCAACAGCAATCCATTGTAAGAAAGCCTTTCAAGAGAAGATTCTCTTAAAGAACAATGTGATGAGGTTACATACTGTACATGAACTCAAATATTATCCATATGCTGCCATTTTTATACAGGGCTGGAAAGATTTCATCCATTCCAGGTGGGAGATCCCTCACTTTCAAATGGGAAAAAGGCATTCCAGGCCGTTACATCAATGTGGAAATACCTGCTCCTAGTCGGGTTCTTACTCTCTGTGAGGTTGAGGTTTACGGTTATCCAGCTCCTGATGGTGAGAACATTTATGATCAGGAATGGATCAGTTTGGCTCTAATACTAATTTACATACTAATAATATTACAACTGTTGTTGTAGGTGAAAATGTGGCTTTAGGAGGAGTAGCTACACAGAGTTCCGTCCACTCATATAACTTTGCATCCAATGCCATTGATGGGAACAGAAATGGTGTTTACAGTCGTGGATCTTGTTCCTGCACTTCAGCAGAGGTCAATCCCTGGTGGAGACTGAACTTACTGAAAAGACACAAAGTGTTTTCAGTGGTTATTACAAACACATTAGACAGTGTTCCTACAAGACTAAATGGGGCAGAAATCAGAATTGGAAACAGTCTGGACAACAATGGCAATGATAATCCCAGGTAATAAATTCATCTTAATATGGCTTTTTGGAGAAGTTCTCAGAATTACTGCCGTTTGCAATGTGACATATAACTTGGCTACAAATTGGTAAAATGTGATTTGGGTTTTGTGCATTTTTGTTTATTCTGTTCATTTGCATTTAACCAGTTTGACTTGATGCATAAATGTGTTTTGCTTTGAATATAAATGGTGGTTCAGAGTTTCTCAAGATGCTTAACTCACTCTTTCTTCAGGTGTGCTACGATCTCTTCCATTCCTCCTGGGTTTTCCACCTCTTTTGACTGTGATGGGATGGAAGGACGTTACATTAATGTTGTTATTCCAGGACGGACAGAATATCTTACACTGTGTGAGGTTGAAGTGTACGGATCACCACTGGATTGAGAAGCACTTAAACAATAGGACGTATAAAAACAAAATATTAGTGGCTGTAGAGTTTTACTTTAATCAGACATTTCTATCAGAGTTTTCAAAACAGTGCATGTATTATTTTATGTATCTGTACTTTAATGCACTGCATGCTGCAGAAAGTATTAGACAGATTTGTGTGACTATTGATCAAAGGACACTGGGAAATGGACAACATGGACACTTTTTTTGAAATGTAATGCAGCTGTGAAAATGTTATGTTGTAAAATAAATGATCATTTTGTTATTAAGTTTGTAGTGTCTTGCAAATGTCTATGTAAAATTAAAATGATGCTTTAATGGAAAAATCTAAATCAAAAGTTACAGGATAAAAACACAAACCTGGGAACACCCCAGCAAAAACAGCAATGCATTCATTGCTTAAGGTTATTGGGAGAAAATAAATGATTATAGTCTTTTGATTTTACTTACTTTAAGAAATATTAGGTCAAATCTAATGGATGATTTCTAATGAATACTTTGAAGTGTTGTTGTCCTGTTATTCCAGCCTAATATGTGGGAGAGTCAAACTATGAATTTGAAACACCTTGCACACACTGTGTTTCGCTCTATATTGAACAAACATTTTATGTTATGGCATTTAAAAAAATCCCAAAAATAATAGAATAAATAACATCCCGCTTTGCAGGAGAAATATATAAAAGTGTAACCAAGGAGTCTTGAGGCAAAACTAAGACCTGCGATTGCACAGAAGACACTTTTCTTTATGATGGGGACTTTGAATAAAACAATATAACTGAGCACAAAATAAAGTAGATAACACTGCAGGACTGTAAACACAATCATAAGTGCATATAAACTGGATCACATTAAACTAGATTTTATGGTTTCAACATTGTTTGTAATTTGGCATTTTGACAGGTTGTATGAATCTGTTGGTTTGCTCTGTTTTTCTTGCACTTTAACAGATTGCTTAAAGGTCACATGTAATAAATTGATCAAATTGAGACCCAGAGTGCGACACACAGAGCCAGAAGTTCTGTACATGCATATACTGTATGGAAGGGAAAGGCGGTGGATTTATGCACTGCAATAAAATCCACAGCACCTTTATAACTTAAATTATTGGATAAGGCCAAAAAAAGAGTTGAATAACATAATCTGCTTCCGTAAAGTTACTGTAAGCTTAACAAACAAACCATAAATATTTCACAATCAAACAAATCACAATTCTGGTAAAGCAGATTTATCTCAGATGACCTGTTTAGATAAAACATCCAGGGCTTTAAAAGTTGTCTTGTATTTATAGCTGGTCCATTGATGTTTCTGTTATTTAAGGGTGATGAACCATTTTTGCCCATAGAGTAAACTTCATCTTGTCTATTTGAAAACTTTGTTTTTTACATTATAAAATACAGGTGAGTGACTTGCTTATTTAAAAGAATCAAAATGAATGTCAGATTATGTTTTCATGTGCATGCTATCATTTGAATAACATAATTGACTTAATTGTCTATCAAATTCAATGATAAGAAAGTCCAATTACATTCTGTTAAATATTAAAACAAACTCTCACAGAAAATCCATTATAAAATCAGAATATAAACATAAACAATATTAACAACACTTATCGAGATTTGTTATTATCTTATTTACTTATTTTCCTTCCCATGTGTAGGATAATGGATATGCACATGTTTTTCGTACTTTGGATTTTTGTGATGCCTTATTTCACAGACACAACAACAGCTAAAGGTACAGTTCAAAATTACACAAATGGCTTCAATTATACAGACACACTCACAATACATTATAAACACTGGTTGCTGATCACTGAACATGTCATATTTTTATCAGGGCAAGTTTTCACCTATGATTTATATGCTTTACTTTTAAACAATTCATTAAATGTCTTCTGGACAAAACTATGGTTTGATATTTTTGCATGTTCCCTTTTTGACTGTTTTTAAGTGTTTATTGTTGTTTTATGAAATTATAATTATTTACATTTTGCTGAAAATGCTTATCTTATAATGTGAAAGATGGTTTTAGATTATACTGAAATAAATACTCAAGATCGGGGCTAATGTCTCAAAAGGACAGATTTTTCTCCTTGGCAATAAAGGTGGAAGTGCACAATTACTTGCTATAGACTGAGTAGGTAGATACATCTGTACAGAAATGTACAGTCAAAATATATATAAATAAACCCTGAGAAATAATCACTGAAGTCAAAAGTTAAATCAAATATTTTTGTTTTTTATTATTAGTATTTTGATTTATTCACTTACTTGTTTGTATTACACATTTTGACTATTTATGCTTTATTAATTTCAGCTACAAATCTCGCTTTATATGGCAAGGCCACACAGTCGGACCTGGTTGGGAATCCTGGGGCAGCATTTGGCCATGCCAGTAATGCTATTGATGGCAATCGTGACTCACATTATGAACATGGATCCTGTACTGCTACTATTATCCAAGATGACCCATGGTGGAGGTTAGATTTACTAGACAAGTACGTAGTGACCGCCATAACTATCACGAACAGAAAAGACTGCTGTCCTGAAAGGCTTGACGGAGCCGAGATACGAATCGGAAACTCTCTGCTGCACAACGGCAACAGCAATCCATTGTAAGAAAGCCTTTCAAGAGAAGATTCTCTTAAAGAACAATGTGATGAGGTTACATACTGTACATGAACTCAAATATTATCCATATGCTGCCATTTTTATACAGGGCTGGAAAGATTTCATCCATTCCAGGTGGGAGATCCCTCACTTTCAAATGGGAAAAAGGCATTCCAGGCCGTTACATCAATGTGGAAATACCTGGTCGTAATCGGCTTCTTACTCTCTGTGAGGTTGAGGTTTACGGTTATCCAGCTCCTGATGGTGAGAACATTTATGATCAGAAATTGATCAGTTTGGCACTAATAAAAATAAGCAGATATTTCAGATTAAGCAATGTTGTAGACACATATTCAATTTAGTAATTTATTCAAAACTATGAATTCATGTGAAACTCATCTGTTGTTGTAGGTGAAAATGTGGCTTTAGGAGGAGTAGCTACTCAGAGTTCCCTCCACTCATATGGCTTTGCATCCAATGCCATTGATGGGAACAGAGATGGTGTTTTCGGTCGTGGATCTTGTACCCACACTGCATCAGAGGTCAATCCCTGGTGGAGACTGAACTTACTGAAAAGACACAAAGTGTTTTCAGTGGTTATTACAAACAGATTAGACGGGGTTCCTACAAGACTAAATGGGGCAGAAATCAGAATTGGAAACAGTCTGGACCACAATGGCAATAATAATCCCAGGTAATGAATTCATCTTAATATGGCTTTTTGGAGAAGTTCTCAGAATTACTGCCGTTTGCAATGTGACATATAACTTGGCTACAAATTGGTAAAATGTGATTTGGGTTTTGTGTATTTTTGTTTATTCTGTTCATTTGCATTTAACTAGTTTAAATTGATGCATAAATGTGTTTTGCTTTGAATATAAATGGTGGTTCAGAGTTTCTCAGGATGCTTAACTCACTCTTTCTTCAGGTGTGCTACGATCTCTTCCATTCCTCCTGGGTTTTCCACCTCTTTTGACTGTGATGGGATGGAAGGACGTTACATTAATATTGTTATTCCAGGACGGACAGAATATCTTACACTGTCTGAGGTTGAAGTGTACGGATCACCACTGGATTGAGAAGAACTTGAACAACAGGATGTAGAATATATATATATATATATATTGGTGGCTGTAGAGCCTTACTTTAATCAGACATTTATATCAGAGTTTTCAAAACAGTGCATGTATTATTTTAAGCCTCTGTACTTTAATGCACTGCATGCTGCAGAAAGTATTAGACAGATTTGTGTGACTATTGATCAAAGGACACTGGGAAATGGACAATATGGACAACACTTTTTTTGTAATGAAATGCAGCTGTGAAAATGTTATATTGTAAAATAAATGATCCTTTTGTTATTAAGTCTGTAGTGTCTTGCAAATGTCTATGTAAATTTTTTATTTTATCTTTTAAATTATGCTTTTATGGCACAATCAAAATCAAAAGTCACAGGAAGAAAAAACACAAACCTAGGTAAATCCCAGCAAAAACAGCAATGCATTCATTGCTTAAGGTTATTGGGAGAAAATAAAATTATTATAGTCTTTTTATTTTATTTAAGAAATATTAGGTCAAATCTAATGGATGATTTCTAATGAATTACTTTGAAGTGTTGTTGTCCTGTTATTCCAGCCTAATATGTGGGAGAGTCAAACTATGAATTTGAAACACCTTGCACACACTGTTTCGCTCTATATTGAACAAACATTTTATGTTATGGCATTTAAAAAAATCCCAAAAATATTAGAATAAATAACATCCCGCTTTGCAGGAGAAATATATAAAAGTGTAACCAAGGAGTCTTGAGGCAAAACTAAGACCTGCGATTGCACAGAAGACACTTTTCTTATGTCTTTGAACTGTTAGCTATGTGTTCCTGTTGTTAAGCGCCACGAAAGGGTAATGAGAAAGCATTGTGAGATGTATTGTTATAATGTCTCTTTTTGTTGCAATTGTCTTTTTATATATATATTGATTTAAATGCCTATAAATAAAGTACTCAAAAAAAAGAAGACACTTTTCTTCATGATGGGGACATCGAATAAAACACTATCATTGAGCAAAAAATACACTTCAGGAGTGTAAACACAATCATGCATAAAAACTGGGTCACATTAAATTAGACTTTATGCTTTCAACATTGATTGTATTTTGGCATTTTGACGGGCTGTTTTTCATTTTTACAGATTGCTTAAAGGTCACAAGTAATTAATTGCTCAAATCGAGACTCAGAGTGCGACACACAGAGCCAGAAGTTCTGTACATGCATATGGAAGGGAAAGGTGGTGGATTTATGCACTGGGAATAAATCCACAGCACCTTTATTACTTAAATTATTGGAAATTACCAAAAAGATGAAAAACATATTTTCACAGACAAGGCTTAAGCCTCAGACTAAACTGCATTATTGAGCTGTTTTAACTGAAAGCAACTTGCACTGTCATATCTTAAAATATGTCAGTGCCATTGTTTTGTCTCAAGATGCACACCAGCAATGTTTCTTTTCTAAGGCATGTTTATAAATGCTACTTAAATGTCCTAATTGAACTAAGGCCTAATCCTTAATCTAAGCCAAACCAGACCATAGTCTGCTTCCATAAAGTTCCTTCAAGCTCAACAAACAAACCATAAATATTTTATCACAATTCTGGTAAAGCACATTTATCTCAGATGACCTGTTTAGATAAAACATCCAGGCCTTTAAAAGTTGTCTTGTATTTATAGCTGGTCCATTGATGTTTCTGTTATTTAAGGGTATATTAACTTCATCTTGTCTATTTGAAAACTTTGTTTTGTACATTATAAGGTGAGTGACTTGCTTATTTAAAAGAATCAAAATTAATGTAAGATTATGTTTTCATGTGCATATATCATTTGAATAACATAATTGACTTAATTGCCTGTCAAATTCAATTTTAAGAAAGTCCAATTACATTCTGTTAAATATTAAAACAAACTCTCACAGTAAATCCAAAACAAAATCAGATTATAAACATAAACAATATTAGTAACACTTGTCAGTTTTGTTATCATTTTATTTTCCTTCCCATGTGTAGGATAATGGAAATGCACATGTTTTTCCTACTTTGGATTTTTGTGATGCCTTATTTCACAGACACAACAACAGCTAAAAGGTACAGTTCAAAATTACACAAATGGCTTCAATTATACAGACACATTCCCAATACATTATAAACACTGGTTGCTGATCACTGAACATTATCAGATCAAGTTGTCGCTGATTTATATGTTTTACTTTTATATAATTCATTAAATGTCTTCTGGACAAAACTATGGTTTGCTATTTTTGCATGTTCCCTTTTTGCCTGTTTTTAGGAAGTGTTTATTGTTGTTTACATCTTGCAGAAAATGCTTTTCTTATAATGTGAAAGATGTTTTTAGATAGCATTTCATATAAAAAAATACTAATGTCTAGGGCTAATGTCTCAAAAGGACAGATTTTTCTCCTTGGCAATAAAGGTGGAAGTGCACAATTACTTTTTGTAGCTATAGACTGAGTAGGTAGATACATCTATACAGAAAAAAATATATAATAAATAAATAAACCTGAGAAATAATCACTGAAGTCAAAAGTTAAATATTATATGGTCAAATGTTTTTGTTTTTTATTATTATTATTTTGATTTATTCATTTACTAGTTTGTATTACAAATTTTGACTATATACTTTATCAATTTCAGCAAAAAATCTCGCTTTATATGGCAAGGCCACACAGTCGGACCTGGTTGGGAATCCTGGGGCAGCATTTGGCCATGCCAGTAATGCTATTGATGGCAATCGTGACTCACATTATGAACATGGATCCTGTACTGCTACTATTATCCAAGATGACCCATGGTGGAGGTTAGATTTACTAGACAAGTACGTAGTGACCTCCATAACTATCACGAACAGAAAAGACTGCTGTCCTGAAAGGCTTGATGGAGCCGAGATACGAATCGGAAACTCTCTGCTGAACAACGGCAACAGCAATCCATTGTAAGAAAGCCTTTCAAGAGAAGATTCTCTTAAAGAACAATGTGATGAGGTTACATACTGTACATGAACTCAAATATTATCCATATGCTGCCATTTTTATACAGGGCTGGAAAGATTTCATCCATTCCAGGTGGGAGATCCCTCACTTTCAAATGGGAAAAAGGCATTCCAGGCCGTTACATCAATGTGGAAATACCTGCTCCTAGTCGGGTTCTTACTCTCTGTGAGGTTGAGGTTTACGGTTATCCGGCTCCTGATGGTGAGAACATTTATGATCAGGATTTGATCAGTTTGGCACTTAAAAAATAAATCAATAAATTCAAAGAGAGACACACACTCACTAATCTTTATATTCAATAAATCTATACTTTATAATTAATACGAACCATTTCTAGAACACTCTTAAAAATAAAGGTTCCAAAAGGGTGGGGTTTGCAATGATGCATAGAAGAACCATTTTACCTTCCCCAAAGAAGCTTTAAACAGCTCTTTAAAGAACCATTTTTTATTAACATAATTTTAAAAATCTAAAGAACCACTACAACAAACCTTTTGTGCAATGGAAAGGTTCTGTGGATGGTTCTCAATGGCAATAAAGCCATTCATGTGAAACTCATCTGTTGTTGTAGGTGAGAATGTGGCTTTAGGAGGAGTAGCTACACAGAGTTCCCTTAGTGGAAATAGCTTTGCATCCAATGCCATTGATGGGAACAGAAATGGTGTTTACAGTCGTGGATCCTGTTCCTGCACTGCATCAGAGGTCAATCCCTGGTGGAGACTGAATTTACTGAAAAGACACAAAGTGTTTTCAGTGGTTATTGCGAACGTATTAGACAGTGATCCCACAAGACTAAATGGGGCAGAAATCAGAATTGGAAACAGTCTGGACCACAATGGCAATGATAATCCCAGGTAAATTAAATAATCTTAATATATCTTTTTAGAGAATTTAGAGAAATTTAAAGTTTGACTTGATGCATATGTGTTTTGCTTTGAATATAAATGATGGTTCAGAGTTTCTCAAGATGCTTAACTCACTCTTTCTTTAGGTGTGCTACGATCTCTTCCATTCCTCATGGGTTTTCCACCTCTTTTGACTGTGATGGGATGGAAGGACGTTACATTAATATTGTTATTCCAGGACGGAAAGATTATCTTTTACTGTGTGAGGTTGAAGTGTACGGATCACCACTGGATTGAGAAGAACCTTGTAAAAGTTACTGAATCAAAGTTTCAATACTAATTGTGTCTGGAGGACTTTTCTGTAATCGAACAGAACTCTGAAAACTAACAAGCAGAGTATAAATTATCTTAATCCTTAGTACTTTATTTCATAGCTGTTATTGTAATATTTGTTATTGCAATTAATATTCAGCATATATGAAATGCAAGAGGAAAAAAACAGGTGTAGGTGATTTTTAATTAAACAAAACTTGACAATAAATAAACAATATGGACCAGAATCGCATGATGAGAAATTAATGATTATTTTGTTAAGGCTAGTATCTAGTATCTTGCAAAATGTGAAAATATGTGAAATAAGACTAATAATAATAAATCATAATAATATTCATTATAATAAAAAGTATTTTATGAATGTGTGTGTTTCTGTATTAAATAAAATAACTGCTAAAAGGGGAATAAAACATACAGTACATGTTTCATTCTTATTAAAGTATAACACAAAAAAAATTGTCAAAGAAAATCAAATAATCGTTTTCCAAACAAATACTTTGCACTGCAGTGTATATAGCCTATATGAAATGTAATTGTACAATACACATATGGGTGTAAAGAAGGAGAAGGCAACCCAATTATCTCACTGGACAAAAATACTAAAGCCCAGACTGACACCTAGTGGAGGGGTGACCTGAAGAAGACGAACAATATCCAATCAAGAAATGATTAATGGAGCTCAATAAAATGATGGCAACAGCTAACCCACTGAAATAGTCGATCACACCTGATACAATGTGATATTCCCTTGATGAACTGAAACTGTGCTATATGGATATAGGCTACTCTCTCTGTCTGCTAGCTTCATTTGATTTCACCATTGACAGTAAAAGAAGGATTTCACTAGACTCTCCAAACAGAAAAATACAAAGAGAGCTAATCATATCCTTGAGCTAATCAAATTAACTCTACAAAGCCATTATATTATTATGTTATTTTAGCTTCATTAATAATCGGAATTTCTCAAAACAATTATGGTTTTCTTACTCAGCTTTTAGAGGATTCCCAGCATTTCAGGTCATTGTAGATCGTAACATGCCGTGTTGTAGAAGTTAATCAGAAGCATCAAGGACGTTTTGCTACTCATCACTGCCACTCAGGGTCAGGGACTTAATATGATTATAGTAGACTTAGACATATTTTGTTCCTCCCTTCAATAACTATCCACCACACTTAGCAGAAGCCCCCGTGGTATCCAATTATCTTTTCTGAGAAATAATAATAGTGAGGTTCAGTTCATTCATACAAAGACTACATTTCCCAGAATGCATTGTCTCGTAAGCCGGAAGTTCAAACTACATTCTCATCGTCCTCTGCCGATAACGTCTCGCTTCAAGATACAGAAGGTAAATGTACACAAAGGTGTATCGTAAAGTCAACAGCTTGCTAATTATTCGATTCCTCCCTTGCTGTTTGAGACTTGACAAGACGTTTAATTATTTCCATTCACTGAGCTGTAAATAAGATATCGTTATCTAAAGTATTTCTGTTGTCCATTTCAGCTCAAAATCTAAAGTAAATTACGAGATTGAATGTGCATGTGACTAAATGTTAATATCTGTTTTTTATTGCATTACTAGTCTAGCATACCTCTTCACTGCTCACTTGACACTAGCTGATGATGATACATTAATACAAGCAACTTTTCTGCTAATTTGAATCTCTAGAATGAAGCAGGAACACGAACATCTCGTTTTGAAAGCATGTGGAGCAAAGTCTCTGCAGATTGGTGCAAAGATTCAGACTTTATGGAGCGGTTATGGTGAAATATTAAGAGTCCACTTGGAGGGATGTGACCGTCCCTCTGTGGTTGTCAAACATGTGATGTTTCCCCAAAACCAGAAACATCCAGGTGGCTGGAACTCAGACATATCTCACCAGCGCAAAGTGCGGTCCTATCAAGTAGAAAGTTATTGGTACCAAAACTACGCCACCAATGAACGCTGCAGAGTTCCCATTTGTCTTGCTGCCAAGTCATTTGGTGATGAACAGTTGATTGTTTTAGAGGACCTTGATGTTGCAGGATTCCCTGTGAGAAAAACCTATGTTAATGATGCTGAAATAAAGGCCTGCCTCAGCTGGATTGCCAGCTTTCATGCCCTTTTCCTTGATGTCGCCCCAGAAGGACTTTGGCCTATAGGCACATATTGGCATTTAGAAACAAGACCTGAAGAGCTAGAAGCCGTGTCAGATCAAAAACTCAAAGCAGCTGCTGCTGAGATAGACAGCGTCCTCAACAACTGCCGCTTTAAGACGATTCTACATGGTGATGCAAAACTAGCAAATTTCTGCTTCTCCAAGGACGGTTTACAGGTTGCAGCTGTTGATTTTCAGTATGTTGGTGGAGGGTGTGGGATGAAGGATGTAATTTACTTGTTGGGCAGCTGCATGGATGAGAGAGAGTGTGAAAAGAGAGTGCCTGGCCTTCTGGATCACTATTTTTTAGAGCTACGGAAATCCTTGGACATGAAGACCAACTTTCAAGACCTGGAGAAAGAATGGCGAAGCATGTTCGCTTTCGCTTGGACAGACTTTCATCGCTTTCTCCTTGGATGGATGCCAGGACATCACAAGATTAATAAGTATAGCAAAAGACTCACTCAGGAGGTTTTGAACAAACTGAAGCAATCTTAATCAATTTGAAACAGAGGAAGAAAGATATCATTTTATACTAAGATTACACTGGAGTGTAAAGGTCCTCATTAGGGCTGAACCGCAAGATGCTGATTATTCCACAACAGTCTTTATTCTGAATGTAATGTAAACACTTGTTTGTGAGATTAAAAAAAATACTTATTTCTATTTAATTTTTGTATTCTATACTCTTTTTTAACATTAAAGCATTCCCACACACTCACCTTTCATAGACATATTTTATAATTAGATTAAAGTTTAAAAGGCATCTTTAAGAACCCTTTTCAATGCAGTATAAGGGGTATGATTTCAGGTCTTACTATTTTATGCTATATTTTGATTGACTGACAACTTTTAAACAAAGTGCATATAAGTAGGAGGAAAATACTTTTTTTTTTTTTTTTTACATTTTTGTGTTTGTAAATTAAAACAGTCGATTTAGAATTTGTTGTATTCTGTATTCAAATTTTGTATTTAACATTTAATTTTTAATGTTGAATTAACGCCACACACTAATTTTTCATGGAAATATTTTAGATTAAAATTCTAAAGGCGTCATTAGAACGTTTCTTTATACGAAATGTAAGCAGTGTGATTTCAGATAGTATGATTTACTCATTTTGATTGATAGAAACTTTTTTAAACAATGTGCAAAATGCCATAAGTTCCCTGTTTATCTTAACGTTATAACCCAGTACATATTTACAATGTTTGGTTGCATTTAATGTAATTAATGACAATATAATAGTTTTTTCGCCTTTAAAACCCCTGTTTTCCCACCGTTTAAAGGGTTGTGTTGTATAATAATCTTTCCATGAACCGGCATTAGTCTTTTGAGAAGAAGCCTCCTTCATGCTGAATTAGGAACAGCCAACAATACCCCATAGCTTTATTCTATAAGAGAATGAAATCGCAAAACTGATCTGGGGTCAGTGCATACGTTCTCCTTTTATGTATGTGGAAACATCTCCAAATGTACGGAACTGTCCGCGCTCTGTTCTCCTGTGCTGATGACGACATTTCCGGAGTTACGCCCGACTCCATTTTACACGAAAACAATCTTAGGGCAAGATATTTTTTTACTCGGGTACGTATAATTTTAGTTTTCTTTTTAAATGCCTTAAAGATTCTATCTTTGTTTTAATATTAACTTATATTGAGCGTTCTTGCTGTCTGTTGGATTAATGTGGAGTCTGTAGCTCACTGGCTAGTTAGCTGCTGGTCATTATCGTCTGATGTTTGTTTTCTATGCGTTTACTGTTAATATACGGGTAAACAGTCATATTTAAGAGAAAATTTGTATAATTATTATTTTTGTATCAAGCAAACCAACAGTTATCCTGGGCTCATTATATGTGATGTAGTGTTTAGCTAACTTACCTAGTAACTTAACCTTGCTAGTCTTGGTAACTCTGTCACGAGCATAATGCATTTATTCTCTTCTTAATTTTATATCGTATTGTTTTTTATTTTTTTATAATTTACTGGAAGTTTTCTGCCATCATCATCATATATGCAATGCAAATGTCAAATAATGAATAGTTTCACCTTATGTAGATGCAGATTTCATCCAACTGCTGGGATAATTTAGGCAAATTAAAAATTTAATGTTGCTTTTGGACACATCTAACACACAAAAGGAATATTTGACCCATTAAATTGCTGCCAAGATTTGTGTCAGGTGTTAGAAAGAGTGTAATCAGCTCATTGCTTTATTCATGTAATATTTCTATCTAGCACATAGTGCCTTCATGCCAGTATGTGGGGTGTATGATTTATTAGGCCTGTTTGCATGCAAAACTGGTATTTTATGTAAAAGGTGGTGTCACGTTTTTATTTATGAGTACAGTAACATATTTCTTCTCCCTCTGTTTTTCTTCATAGGCTGACTGAGTGCATCCACCTGTCTCTGCCACATTCCTCTCGCTGAAGTAGTATGGCTAATTTTAAGTGCTAGGACTGCCTGGAAAGCAACATGAAGGATACTTTCACAGTTCATCAGCCATGAATCAAGTCTGAGGAAGGAAAATATCCCTGCCCTTGAACAGGACACCTGGTTCTGTGTGATTTTCCCTGTTTCAAAGCTCAAGAGCTGCTTTATTATGAAACATGGACCAGGGTACAGTTGACAGCCCTGTTACTCTTGTCATCAAGGCACCCAACCAGAAATATGATGACCAGACCATCAATTGTTTTTTGAATTGGACAGTTGAGAAATTGAAAAAACACATCTCCAAAGTGTATCCTAGCAAGCCGGTGAGTTTATATTATTATCAGTATTGTTATTCTATTTCAAAAACATGTCTGTTGCCACTCAAGAAACACAGAAGAAGCCTATGAAATTGTGCATTGACTTCAGGAAATGGCAGCTAGATGCCAAACATTCCTGTAGAGCAGGTGGCATCACTGGTATTTTTTTGCCTCAGAGCCTCATGCAGTTCAGATATTACTTCCTTATACTGCTGCCATTACTGATAAACGATTTGTTTTAGATGCCTTTCTGACATTTTAATCTGAGATTTCATTGAATGTCTGTCTGTCTTATGAAACTGTCAATGCCTTTCTTGCATTTAGACAAGCTTAATAATAATAAAATAAAGTCCATGTTAATGTTTCCTCTTTCAGTCATCCAAGGACCAGAGACTTGTCTATTCTGGACGACTTCTGCAAGATCACTTGCAGTTGAGGGATGTGCTAAGAAAGGTACACTCGTAATCGCTGATTTCTGTTTAAACATCAAATCAAATGCAACGTGTACAAAAACAAATCGAGTTTCTTGTAGAAAAGAGAAGTGTGTCAAACAGTATATGAGTGTTTCTGATTGTTGAGATTCTGAAGCTGCCGTTTTATTTCAAGATCCCAAATCTCTTGTATGTCATTGTCAGCATCATAATCTTGATACTGATGGCACAGTTATTAGGCCATTCCCCACCATCTTGGGGGGATTTTACTCTTAGAAATTGTAGGGCTGCCCCCTACTAGTCAACTAAACGTTAGTCGACCAAAATTGTATAAGTCGGTTATTCGCAGAAACTCCACAGGAAGTGGTGAAGTCATGCAGTCCATGAAGGACAGATCGTTAACAGCGGGACTTTGTGGTAATTACAGTATGTAGGGCAGGAAATCCAAATGTTCGTCTATCATCCATATGGCTTATGATTTGAAACATGTAAGTACTGGTAGTAGCAACTTTACATGGCCGGTTGCTCTAACATTAACCTAGATAAATGTGAGCTATTATTAGGCACATACACTTTTTCCAGTGCTCTGCAAGCTTTCTGTCTGCGCTTGAGTGCAGAATTGGTTGTATACGTTACGTCTATATATAGCCTATTAAAGGCTCATTGTGGTTTAGTCCCCCCCACCCCCAGTATATTTAAGTAATTAAATTAATATAAATGTGCAATTAGTCTATTGTTAATTGCTTAAATGAACGACTAGGCTACTAGTCGACAAAAAATCTTTATTTGGGGGCAGCACTAAGAAATTGTTTTAAAGTTGGCAAGAAATTAAAAATTCACCCTATCTTTTTTTCTAAATGCATCTTATAGATTGTATTGTGAACGATTCATCCATGCATGTTTCCTTTCTTTAACCAAAAAAATTTGAGCTCATGATTTTTAATCACAATGCCAATGTCATTTAGTCCGATTAAAACCTGCCCCTTTCTTCACACGCATTCAGATCTGCCTCCATCCAATCAACAATTTGGATAAAAGTCCCTGCACTACTTTTCCCCCCGATAATCTTTCACTCTGATCTATGTCACGATGCAGAATAAAAAATCTGTCGCTATTTCCGTTACATTTCAAAAACATTGAAAGATATGACACAGTAGTCAGAGACATTCATTTGATGCATTTCTACATCGACCAATAATTAAAAATGGCTCAAACCGAATGCAATAACTTGTATAGTGAACACTTTCTTTGGTTATATAACGCAGAATGTGCTGTTCATATTGTGAACATTGTATTATTGTATAGTATTTGACGAGAGCTCTAATCACTTGATTTGTTCAACCCCAACAGCAAGATGAATACCACATGGTCCACCTAGTGTGTGCTTCACGAAGCCCCCCATCATCCCCCACTTTCAGCAGCCCTATTAGCACCACTGACTCCAGCTCTTCAGTGAGTGCCTAGAAGAACAATGCATGCATTGAAAAAAAAAAAGAAATGGATCATTCCTTGAAGAGCAGTTTCTTTTCTCGCTGTTTATTATGTCCATTATTCCTTCTTATTCCTAGACGTCAGACAGTGCTGGTCCATCTTCTTCATCTTCTACCCCTAGTCCTGAAACCCCAGCCAACTCTGATGGTCTACGGCACCGGGGGAACCCAGTGCAAACACATGGCCTCAATCCTGCCCCTACTGGTGTGATGCAGAGGTAAACACATAAATAACACTTTACTGCTCAAGACAAAACATGTTGAATTGAGTTGAGTTTTGAGGCCTTTTGTTGTCCCACTTAGGCCTGAAGGAATGCCTCTTCCCATGCAAGGTGGTCCCGCTGCTGGCTTCCCCGCCCACCCTATATATATGCCGATGCAAATGTTTTGGTGGCAGCAGATGTATGCCCGCCATTATTATGTGCAATAGTAAGTTACTACAGCCTCAGGCACTAGGTGTGACCCTGAATTAATGTATTTGAGCCCTCTCTGACTGCGATTTTTATTTTTTAAATGTTTTTGAAAGAGGTAGAAAGACTGTTCTATTATGTAATAATATTTCAATGTTTTTACTGCATTTTGATCAAATAAATGCAGCCTTGGTAAGCATATGCTTATTTATTCCTGTGATGCAAAGCTGAGTTTTCAGCATCTTTACTCCAGTCTTGAGTGTCACGTGATGCTTTAGAAATCATTCTAATATGCATTTTAGTTGATGCTCAAGAAACTATTATTATTATTATTAATGTAGAAAACCGTTTTTGCTGCCTAATATTTTTGTGGAAACCATGATAAATTAAAAATAAATAAATATACATACTTTTATTCAGCTAAGACGCATTAAATTGATCAAAAGTGACAGTAATGCCATTTATAATGTTACAAATTATTTCTATTTCAAATAAATGCTGTTTATTAATCAAATTTTTTACATTGATAATAAGAACCATTATTAATATTTGAACACCAATAATAATTGACAACAGTTGAGCACCAAATCAGAATATTACAATAATTTCTGAAGGATCATGTGACACTAAAGACTGAAGTAATGGTTTCTGATAATTCAGCTTTGCATTCACAGCAATAAATTACATTTTAAAATATATTCAAATAGAAGTTATTTAAAATTATAATAATATTTCACAATATTACAGTTTCTACTGTATTTTTTATCAAATAAATTCAGCTTTTGATTGGTAGGTAGTGTAAATGGATATAGAGCACAACTTGACTCTTTATACTTTCTTTATAAATGTCTCATTTTAATGTGCACAATTCATCACTGTGCATTATTTTATTTCCTGATCTTTCATTCTCCATCTTCTGTCTTTTAGTCAAGCAGCCATGGCAGCCTCCCGGGTGTCCAGCGCGACCCCCTCTCCCGCCCCCAGCGCTGGTCCCGCCACACAGCCAGCTCAGCCTAACGAACCTGCAGCCCCTATGGGGCCCAACCCCGCCCCTGAGGACCGCCCTGCCAACCCCAACATCCAGATGAACGCTCAGGGAGGAGCCATGATGAACGACGATGAGCTCAACCGAGACTGGCTGGACTGGATGTACACCGTGTCACGTGCCGCCATCCTGCTCAGCATCGTCTATTTCTATTCCTCCTTCGGTCGCTTCGTCATGGTGATCGGTGCCATGCTGCTGGTTTATCTGTAGGTCACATTCTGAGCAGAAGTTGACTTGTTCTTTTAGGAAGGTTAACATTGTATTTGCACTTCATTGTCTTATAGTTTGTCTCTTTTTGTGTACTCTAGGCACCAGGCTGGCTGGTTTCCCTTTAGAGCAGAACTGCAGAATCCAAGAGCTGAAGAAGGTCCACAAGACGAGGCTGAGCAAAATCAGGAACTGCAAGAGATGGTTAGTAATAGTGGCCAATATTGTTGCAGATATCTAGAGCGCAAGGTTGCCGATATACTGACTGAACTCAAAAGTTTGGACAGCCTTGACTGAATTTGCTTTCTATGATCTTAAAAATGTAAAATAGTTGCCCTAAAACATTAAAATAGTTTTGTAGACATATATAAAAAATAAAAATAATTTTGGTCTCGCTATATAATCCCTGTACTTCCATTTGTGTTATTTTATATATTTTTAATGAATTTTATATTATTCAAAAGTGTGGGAAATCATCATAATCATGGGTTTGGTGTGTCTAAACTTTTTACGGGTGGTGCATGCAATAATGTAATTTTATACTGGCAAACGAGAACACTATTTATTTACTCTACATACACTACCATTCAAAAGTTTGGGGATGGTACGATGATTATGTTTTTGAAAGAAGTCTCTTATGTTCACCAAGGCTGCATTTATTTTAACAAGTACAGTAAATACAGTAGTATTGTGAAAATATTATTACAATGTTTTTAAATTTTATTTTGTAATGGCAAAGCTAAATTTTCAGCATCATTGCACATGATCCTTCTGAAATTATTCTAACAGGTTGATTTGAACATTTCTTCTTATTATACAGTGTTGAAACGGTTATGTTGCTTTATATATTTATGGAAAATGATGATTCTGATAACTTAATAAAAGTATTAATTTCTTAGAAAACAACCCTCAAACTTTTGTGTTTTTAGTGTATATTATAGAATCAGATATATAAAAGAAAATGCTCATTATATTAAGACCATCAGGAGTTTAAAACCGACCCATTTCACAATTATCAACTGATACCAATAATCTTAAAATGGTCATATATCATTCTCACTAATTCATTCTGAGACTTTGTGAGACACATTATGAGACACAACTTACTTGTGAACCAAAGCATAATAAACAAACATAGCCATCGCTTTTCTTTTCTTTTTGTGTTTCTGTAGGAGCGTATGATGGATGAGGGGATGGAGGATGATGAGGGGGACAACGGGGAGGAAGGTCCTGAAGATCCCATGAACGCAGGCCCGCATCAGCCGGGCTTCCTGTCGGCCACGTGGTCGTTCATTAGCACTTTCTTCACCTCCCTCATCCCTGAGGGACCTGCACACGCTGCCAACTGAACTCTGATGTCTCCACATTGTCTGTGGACAGTAGAAAAAAAGAAAAGAAAATAGACTTTAAAAAAAATCATAAAATAAAAAACAAGTACAACATGGTCTGCCATGTCCTAGCAAGTCTGTAATGCTGCTTCAATGGTGTTCAAATCCTATCCCACCCCCCACCACCCTTCCCTAAAATTCTCTTCCCGCCTTCATCAATAAGTCGGGGTGAGCCTGAGGTTTCATGGATGTGTTGTCCATGTTGTTACAAAAGACTTTTCTTCTCAAGGCTGGTTGATAAACTCATAAGACCATAAGACTTAGTGAATCATGCAGTTACTTTAGTGCATAACAATTTTTCTCTTCCTTGTGTGTAAATAAATAGTAAATATTTACAGATATGAATATATGCATCTCATTGAAACAAGGTGTGTTTTTGAATAAAATCAGGTTTTGGTTTCTAATCGTAATACGTAGTTTTTATTTCCCTCAGCTGCTCAACTGATACACCACTAGTGGGCGCCACTGATTTAAAAATGCTACATCTACATAAAGATGTGCATATCTCTACATATATGCAAAGATTTTTAAAGATGCTTCATCCCTGTGATATATGCACTATGTTTAGCCCAATAATTTGTAATTAAAAGTATTTCACAAGCTATTTGGTGCAATTATTTCTACTAAGGGAAGAATTTCTCATATGTAATATATTTTTTTGTGTGATGTCTGATTCCCATCATAAGCACGCTTGGATGGCACTGGTAAGAGCTGGTGCACATATACGTACAGTATATATGAATATCTGAATTTTTACATTTTGAAATGAAAGCCAGAGCCAGCCTTTACACCCTTCCGTCCAGTCATATACAGACACTGACTGAGGTGAGATTGAGACAAAGTAGACCATCATGCACTTCAGTGCCCTCAGAAAACCTCTAATCAAATGAAGATGGATTTTGTACGGTTCATTGTAACAACACAATTAATTATGCATGACATAGACATTTATTGGGCTCATTTCACCCGGACTCCACTAAGTAACTGGACAAATCGGGTTATAGTCCCTCTTCCCAAGGTAGGACAACTCTTATCAGGAGAACAGATCTCTGAGGAGGGCTCTGTCTGTCATACGATGATTTCATCATGACTCCATCCTTGGTTGGATAGACCTACAAATGCAGTTGTTGAAATTATTTCACTTGAATTGAAGTGGATTTCTCCGGGAATACAAAAAAAAAAAAAGGAATAAAAATGTGATTGATAACTGTATCGACTAGAGGAGACGGGGGCAAGTTGTCACTGAGGTTGTTTCTGAATAACTAACTAGAAGGTGTTAGTGTTTCCATAGAAGTGGTTTTTGTATGTAGGTTTCAAACACCATGAAGCAAATAGTCTTTATTAGAGAAAAAAATTGGTATCCTGTCCTCTGAACAAAAATGTCAATATCATCATATTTTTATAATAGGCTATTTGTTGCACCACAGTCACAATGAAATAAGTTCAGATATGACTCAAGTGCAAATTAAAGGAAGATTTTAACTCAAATGTAGTTTTAAATGTTAAAATTACAATAGTTGTTTGCCAAAAAATGTTGTGTGTGTGTGTGTGAGAGAGAGAGAGAGAGAGTATATTATATAGCTACACACACATTATATAATAACCTGTATTATATATAATTCACAACAGCTCTCCCATCTGCATCACTGTGAAATTGTGCATCACTTTTTTTTTTTACAGCTTTCTCAATGGCTTTGGCACAATTCTCGAATGAGATTTTTTTTTTCTCTCAAAACAATAAGCTCAGGTCTCTGAACAATATTTTTTTGTTCACATCTGATTTGAATTTCTTATTGATTTAAGCAAACTGCATGTGTTTTGGAACATGTGCAAAAGAGTAAGTGCAATTGTCTTCAATTTGCACAATAACTAAATGCACATGGCTTGTTGTTGGTCAAAACTGATGAGTAGATACTCTTCAGAACTTCTAAACATTCTTTCATAGTGTGAGCCATCACATGCAAACGGTCCATTCAGGGCCTATTCCAAAAATATCTGACATGCAATGTCTGCTAAATTGGCAAATGTCCTGCCATAGGAATTACAATCTTACCAATCTGCCAATCAAGTTTGGGCTATCGAGTTTGCTCACAGCACAACCCTAAACAGCAGCAGCTACAGCAGTATAAATATACAGTAGCCTACATTTAATTTTGTAGAAATGTTACATCATGTAAACTAAAAACTCACAGTTGCTTGTTGCGGAAGAGCAACATGAAGACATGTAAGTTCGGGGGAGGCATAATGTGTGAAATGAGTTTGTAAAAAATTCAGTTACAGTTTTTCTCAGTCCCTTTGGTGCATTTCTCACATCACTATTTACATTTGCACAACAGTTAATGCAGTTCTCAAAACAATTAGTACAAACTGCAAAACCTAGTTGATAACCTGCAAAAGCGTGTCACTTAAAATGGATAGCTCATTCCTCAAAAGCAAGAATGCATGTCAATGAAAGTGTCAGTGTCATCAAGATGAAAAGTCCTGACACCATTGTTTATGAACAAGATAGTCAAATGGCTGTGTCATGTTTTCATTATGACAGTTTACTCTGTAAATGTTTTCCAATGCAAAAAAGTCCGATCTTGGTGACACTATAAATGTTCAACAAGACAGCACTATATACTATTTGCACAGCCATTTGAAAACTACAGTAAAGTTATACATTACTGTATTTAGTGAGGTAACTGAGTACAAGACACTGAATATGTATGTTTCACATTTTTACTGCATATGCTCTTTGCAATTCTAATTTGTCCACAGCATTGTGCAACAGAAAAAATACACCCTTATTTACAACAAACATAAACTCCCTTTGGGTAGAGCTGTGCACAACTGTAAACAATATTGCAGTACATATTGGAACTGAACATACAACATACATAGTACTGTAAATCATTCATGCACATCCCTTCTCATCAGTGAAAGCTGAGGTTCACCTGAGAGAAATTGTTCAATTTAGGATAAAACACATTTTTTTAAAGATAAAAAAAATTTTGCTTGACAGATTTTGACAACTAGTTTCACATTTTTGTATGTGATGACTCAAGCAATGAAATGAGGACTATTAGTTTTTTATGGAATGACTATTCAGCATTCACAAGTATAGTTAATTTTGACTGACATGACATAAGCAAATAATGTTATAAAACAGCAGAGAGTTGTATGAAAGCAATTGATGCATGTCCAAGAGCATTTGCAATTTGTTGGAAGGAATGAGAAACTGCTACTATGATGTGCACAAATGACTAAATGCTGTGGAGGTTGAACTAACTGTTGTGCAAATATAAATAGTGATGTGAGAAATGCACCAAAGCGACTGAGAAAAACTGTAACATGTAACACATTTCTGCAAAAATGAATGTAGGCCTACTGTATAAATAAGTACATTTTTACCTAAGGTGAAATCTGTATCTAAAAAGCTGAGTGTGATAAATAAGAACATTCAACTAGATAAAACTGACATTCATGGTAGAATAGCGTATAGTAATAAACAATTGTGCACATTAAAATGGGACATTTTTTAAGAAAGTGTGAAGGGTCCATTTTGATTTCATGCTGTCTTAATAGGAAAAAAGTTGTGCCCTATTGACACTGTCTGTCAAAAGCTGCATTTATTTGATCACAAGTACAGTAAAAACAGTTATAACAAATATTTCCATGGTGAAAAAACATCTAAACATTTTGAACATTTTTAATAACACTTTTTATTTTGTCATTCATCAATTTACTCACACAATCATTTTGAGATATGAATGAAATGTTTTGTGTGAGTTACTACATTTGACAGTCATGCACAGAGTGCTGCTATTCCAGCTAACAGTGACTTTTGAACTTACAGTTTAGAGAATGTTAAGACTGTGCCAAAGCGATTGAGGAAAAACTGTAATTGTGTGTGTATACAGTATATTGTCTTAATTCTGTTAAAATTAACTCTTTCATAATTGGTGCTGTTTAAACTGCAGTTTCCATTGTGACAACTTACCCCATATCGTGACAATATTGGGGCATTTTATCACAAAGATAGATAGATAGATAGATAGATAGATAGATAGATAGATAGATAGATAGATAGATAGATAGATAGATAGATAGATAGATAGATAGATAGATAGATAGATAGATAGATAGATAGATAGATAGATAGATAGATATGGACTCAAAATATTCACTGGAAGTGTGTGACAACTAGCCCCAGTCTCTCCTATAGCACTAAAAGATTTTTACATAACATATAGACCCTTTGGAAATTCTTACCTTAATTAAATAGGAAATAGTTGAGCGTAAGAAGAATGTTCCAAGTATTCAAGAAGTGTTTTGTTTGACTCTGACTCTTGAAATTGAATCTACAATCTAATTATTTATGTGGGTTTTTTCCAGTTAAAATTAAGTGAGACATCTATGAAACTCTTACTAAACCAGTGTTTAATAGAGGCAATAAACAACGTGGACTGTATTGACAGGGATGTGGGTTAACCTTAATTCACTGCAAAGACAGCAGACGGTTTTCCATGCCTATATCATTGAAATGTGCTCTTTTTGTCTTACGCACAAATTAAAGTAACATTGAGGGGAGGGGGAAAAACATGCAAAACTGAATGAAATTAGATTTAGCTGGCAGTCCTTGCTGTGTAAATTCTTATTCCTTAAAATGGACTCCCTAGTGAACTGTTCCTTCCAATTTCTTTAGCCATACCTCACGGTCTTCAGACTGCCCTTCCTCTATATCTGTTTAATCCAATCACCCTCTCACTGGATGTTATTTATTTGCTTATTTATTTTTAAAGGATGTAACTGATTTTTATCAGAGGATAGAAGTGCCTTTTCTTCCTGGTGAAACAGTGACTAACGACCTGCTATCGATTTGTTGGTTTGTCCATGGTAGCGATGGCTGTGTGATAGAGAGGACATCTTTATATTTAGAGTTATGCTAGAGATACCTTAGACATTTCCTGCCATACAGAAATGGAAGCATAAAGGAGGAGCGCCGATAGTGAAGATCGAGAGAGGAACAGGCCTGGATTTATGTTGTGTTTTGTTTGTTTTATTATGTGACAGCA